TTTTGGTCATTTTGCGAGGGGCTTTTGATCGATGGACTTTTATATATAGAAAAGAGAGTTTCACTTTGAGCAACGTGTTTTGTTCAAATACTATGCAATAAGACACTATGAACTGATATTCAGGTAGATATAATACTAAACACTTTTGTTTGAGGCTATGTTGAGAATGGAGAGGGAAACGGGCTTCACTTTAACGGACCTGTTATCTCTACATGTAGCATTTTGTAACATCACAACGTGATATTTGGGTAGCTATAATACTAATCAATGGATTTAAACACAACTCAAGATACATGTTGGAGGTTTAAGTTGCCTTTGAGAGCCCGTGCCAAGCCCGACCGAACAATTGTAGCGGAAATAATGTTGAGAGTGTGGGGAAAAGATCGTATCATTTACCAGCTTTAAATACGATGACCACTGACCTTCTGAGGTGGTAATTGCTTGGATATAGATGGAAAAAACTTTTCCGGGCCGACAGAACTGAAATGTGTATCGGGATTGACTGAAATATTTATACATTTTAAATCCTGTTTCGTTTAACGATTCCTCTTGTAGACGTAACCTTGCTCAGTCATTTACACAGGCCGTTCGTCTCCCTGAGTTTTAGTCAGTGAGTATGGTTTTACGCCGCTTTTAGCAATATTCCAGCAATATCACGGCGGAGGACAGCAGAAATGGGTTTCAAATTCCTGAGTTTTTAGCGATTTGCTCGTAATAAGGTTATTAAGGTACACGTTTGTGGCTACTGGTTGATCTTTTTTATCATGGTTGTATGTTAGATTAATTAATTGTAGGCATGGTTTTCGATAATGGATGTATTAGCCAATTATATAGTTGGCCCGGCCAAGATGGTTTCTGTTTATGACAGCTGTATTCCAAAGGTTTCAATGACAATAACAATTTATTTCGGTATAGCGGCCACATGGCCTAAAGTACATTTAGGGTACAGAAATATTGTGCACAACGGTACAAGATAAAATCAAGTTATAGTTCTGTGGAAAAGTCATAGTTCATATTGGCAGATTTCTTTTCAGATAAATACTTAAGGACAGTATATGCTTCTCATTAGTTGATGATAACAATTGATAATACTTGACAGTGATGGGTCTTCGTGGTAATAAGATGGAATAATCTTCTGACGACCTTCTGCATAATAAGGACAAATAAGCAGAAAATGATAACTCTTCTTCAATTTGCTGTAACTGACACTTGGAGCATTTCTATCAACATTCTTTTCAAACCGATACTGCTGAATATTCAACTTATGTAAAAGACAACGGAACATACATAACGTTCTTTTCAAATCGTTTTGCAATTGTATTCCAAGGGTTTCTGTATATGGCAGGTGTAGTCAAAGAATGTATTTGCATGACAATTGTATTCCAATGGAGGTTGTTTTTTTTTATATGGCAGGTGTATTCCAATAATGTCTGTTTATTACAATTGTATTCCAAGAATTTATTTGCATGACAATTGTATTCCAATGGGTTTTTTTTTATATGGGTGGTGTATTTCAATAATGTATGTGTATGACGATTGTATTCCAAGGGTTTCTGTGTTTGGCAGGTGTATCCCAAGGGTTTCTGTTTATGACAGTTGTATTTCAAAGGTTTCTGTATGTAAGAAAGGTCTACTCCACTGCGTTTATGTATTTGAGTGGTTTCTAAATAAGACAAGCATACTACAAAGAGTTACCTCATTAGAAATGGCATGTCCTCAAATGTCTGTTCAGTGAGGCTTGAGCATTCTTCTAAATACGTTTTTATTTACGAATAGCAGAATCTTGGTTTTAGTAACAGAATCTCGTGACATTGACAACATGTACCTTGATAATTGGTTTAGAGTGTTGACTGTAATCATGCAGGCAACAAATTGATTTGGCCACCTGCAGGTATGATCTACCGTAACTACGGAGCAATGTTTGGTACCCTGAGGTCCCGCTGGGACAACACAACTGGTAACACCAGAAACCACTCGGTCTTACAGCCTGTTATATACACAATAGAACATATAGTGAGGATGATGAGACACCAGGTCGTCGAGTGACGACTTCCTTCCTGCAGGAAATAGGGCCATGTTATGATTGTATGTATGCAATATGCAACAAATTGCCATCACGGATCTTCGGGTCAGGAACCCAAAGCATTTCCTGTTGTCTTCAGACTTTTCTCTTTTTATTGCAAGAATATAACAATAGCATGATCACATGGCAATATGGGATGTTAGAGTAAGTAAGTATAATTGTAAGGCAACTTAACAGTATTGAAAACTCACGACAGGGCACTCGAGAAGCGGGCTGCCCACCCTGTACGTTTGTATGGAATCTAACAACTGGTCTACCCCCATTGCTCAAGTTTGTCCGAAGCATGGAGATGAGTGGAAGTGAAATTATATAGTCATATACGGCTTGGGATTGGATAGAGATATATATCAAACTGACATGAAAATGTAAACACACATATCATATTTGTAAATTATTGTAAACACATATATAAACTTACGCTATTTATATTTCTTGGTGTGGTGGTCGAGGCTGGATGAGGTCGGACAAAAGGCGTAAAAAGCTTCCATAAAGCATGTCAACACAACGACGAACTTCCACATATAGCTAGACTAACAACTAGTCTCTGAAATGAACATATTTTACTGAAAAAAGGTCATAGTAAAAAAATATATAATATAATGAAAAGGAGCCCTGAGACTGAGGAAATCTAGACTTGCCACATTTTCTAGACTTGCGTGGGCTTTCTTGGATATATTTGCTTCAGGGTCTGTACGGCAGACTAACATATAGCGTGTACGCCGAGATATAGCTCCATTCATAAATACGTATTGACTGGATCACTTGCAACTCGATATCCACTGTAATAACTTGCCTAATACCATACATCTCTAATTTAAGTATAAGCCCCGGATACATCGCAAAATATCACACATTACGTTTCTTTGTTGTACAGATGTACAGATGTGATGGTAAAGTTCAATTAAGTGATGGGCAGTTGAATGACCTGCTCGAAAACCTGCTTGGTACTTACACAATAGTTTAACATGGAAGTAATTATACAAGTGTTTATATGCAACTTAAAAGAGAAATAGGTGTAGAATTGTAAACAATAGAGTGATCTACTTTCTTGTACAGTGGCATCCCATATGCACTTTTCCACATATTTGGATACACACTAGATTACAATGATAAGTTGAACAGTAAACACAGGGGCTCAGATATCAACAGTGTTTAATAATTTATGACCTATTCTATCCGGCACTTTGTTTGAGGGAAACAAGCCCTGTACCCGGAGATGTGTGGTGTTGGCCACATTCATCCAAACCTGTGAAACAAATGGATTCTGGAGGTCGGATCCTTTTGTTTCTCTTTCACTTTACAAATTATTTGATGACTCATTTCTGGGTTTGGTTTTGATTCAAACAACTTGTTTCATATGTTTTCCAGGACAGGGGCCCATAAGTTTATTTGGAGTCTGGTGTCACCAATCTTGCGCTGTTTCCTGTGAATTAATTCTTTTTTCATTTTCCACCTGGAGTCACTTCCAGAACAGTTGGCATGCTTAATAAAGGTACTGTCACAATGTTACATGCACATTCTCGCAGCAGTAAGCTCATGTAACAAACAATGTGCAAGTATACACACCATGGAAATACCTCCATCAGAAACACCTGAGTGGATTATAAATGTATGGGTCAACATTGATATTGTAGTACCCAGTCTTTACTGACTGGAACGATTTGGAGATGACAAGAGGTAAGAATTTTTCTGAAAGTCTTCCAAGCTTTTTTTCAAAAGTGACTCCTTGTTATTTCATTTCAGATAATATAGCACTTTCTTTCATGTCAGCCACCAGCTTGTCTTGGGTGTCTTACAATGTGGTTGCTAAATTGCTGGTGTTAAGTGTTCTGTGAGAAGAGGCCTTAACTGGGTGCCACCAAATAGACCAGATGACAACAGTTTGGTCAATTGCTTTTCTATTTTACATTCTTTGAGTAAAGAGTGAGTGAGTGATTTTAACTTTTAGACCACTTTTAGCAATGTTCAAGCAGGCCTGGGACACCAGAACAGAAATGGGCTTCACACATTGTACCCATGTGGGGAATCGAACCAGGGTCTTTGGCGTGACAAGGGAATGCTCTAACCACTAGTCTTCCCCACCACATCCCCATGAGTAAAGAATCTGAATGCAGTCACTAGTTCATGTTGGTGTCCATTATTTTAATTGTAGTGTAATCACAATATTCACAGGCCTACATTTCTGCTGGCAGGGCCAGATAAAAGTGAGTGAGTATGGTTTTAGGCTGCTTTTTTAAAGTATTATCATGGCAGGGGACACCAGAAATGGGCTTCACACATTCTACCCATGTTGGGAATCAAACCCCGGTCTCCATGTGTCAAGCGAACACTTCAACCACTAGGCTACCCCACCGCCCAACCGATAAAGGGATCTTAGAATTTACAAGATGATCTCATTCTGACATATCTGCTTTACTGAAATATTCAAATCAGAATGAAGCAGAATGATTGGGAATGAATGCTTTGAAATAAAACCAACTCTTCATAGTGGAACATCATTATTACAACATATACATACTGACACATTCTTACTGACTGGCAGCTAACACAAGTCAAAAGACAATTTCTAATCGTTCTTGTTATAGTAATATCTTTTAATAAGATCAATGACTAATGTTATCATAGAACAACTTTGACGTGTAACTAAATGCTTTCCACCTGCATTAGAGAGAACATCAAGTCATTGATCTCTTCATCCTATCCCAGTCATTTTAAATTAAATCAATCCATCTGCCCCCTCTTGCATGTGCTCTCAGCTGACAACCTGATGGGTGTAGATAAATCAGAGAGCACAGACTCTCACATTACATGTGGAGGCTTCCATACGGCTGGAGGTTACATGATGCAATGGCATATGCAATGCATGTTTGACTTTTATAAACTGAACATTCCTTTTTGAATGAAATGAGTCCTAATATGAAGGCTGTAGAATGAGTTTAATGAGCACAACAACTGTAACAATGTGCTGAATATACATGTATCTTGAATGTGTTACAATGGTAACAAGACAGATGGGGACAAATAGTTGGGTACAGCTTTGAAGAACACAGTGCTGCTTTTAACTCTCACAATTCCATTTGAAAGGCGTCCCATCTGCATCCCAAGTGCATAAAGGTAAACTGGAACTTGGTAGGTCTTGTGGATGAGTTGGGGCATTCAGTGTGTCAACACTGTTGGACACTTAATAAAAGTCTTTGACAACCAGCTGAAGATAAATACACTGAAAATAAAACCAGCTCATACTTTCGTAATAATGAAGTGTTGTATGTAGTTTAAACATAAATACTGTATGGTATGTACACACATATATAGCATTACAATGACAGTATACAGGAATATGTTTCACCTCTTTGCTACACAGATTCTGTCAGATTGTGTCCATAGTCAACTAACTGGGCTGGGCATGTTACAAAGGTATGTTCACCACTGTTTGCATCTGTTACAACAACTTGAGTAGCCACAACAGCTTCTCCCTCACCCCTGCTCACAGTCATCATGGGCAGCCCAGCAGCATCCTGCAGTTGGTTTGGATCTGCAGTGGTAACGGTCATGTGAACTGGCTGAGCTTCAATGATAGTGATGGGCTGGAGGTTGCCAGATGCACTCTCTGTAGCATGCAGGACTTGACCCCCAGACACAGTAGGGATAAATGTTTGAATCGTTGGTCCATTTTCATGCACAGTTTCTGTCAAATGGACAACATAATGATCCAACATTGCCTCATTTGCAGAGTCTGTTGACTTTAAAGTTAAATGTTTATCACTGGTCATTGTTATCTCCTGCTTGCTGTCTGTAAACCTGACAACTTCATCTCCACCAGTAACTGAAACTGTATGTACTTTGTCTAGGACAGCAATGGGTGTTGATACCTTCTGTGCATCTAGACTTACTTCATTTATTAAAGATTCAGCAACAGATTGGGAAGATGGCCTTCTTTCCTTTCCTCTCATACGACTGTTGCCCATTCTAGATTCACGCACACGTTCAGCAGTTACTGTTATCATACGCTTTTTAGGACGACCAATTTTTCTGCGATTTCTTGGCCTGAAAACTTGAGGTTCTATCCCATCTTTTTGTGGAAGACATTTGTGATCATGAAACAATTTTGGTCGGAAAAACCCTCTTCCACATCTTTCACATCTGAACTTATAGTCTGCTTTGTGTCCACGTTCATGTTCAAGGAGATGAGGCTTACGGCTAAAACCCTTGCCACATTCCTTGCACTTGAAAGGTTTTATACCACTGTGTGTGACTATATGTGCTTTAAGCTTATCCGGTCTGTTAAATTCTTTCTGGCAACCTGTAAAATTAAACATCAATGGCCATTAAAAATGTTCTATTTACAAATGTGCTACTGACGTCTGCAATGATAAGACTTGTTTAGAGACACCCAAATATCAAGCTGCATGCCTGTGAAGTGCCTGAGGCTACTTGACCTCACCAGTGTTCAGCTTTGACCTTATCATCCAAAACAACAGTTTCTGTTTAATTGTTGAAAATCTTAAGTTTCTATAAAACAATGACATTTACAATACAGGACTAACGGCAATGATGTAACAGACATTTCATATCTACAGAAATAATGTGGTTTCTGAAAAGAAGTCTCTTTTAACATCCTAGAATGTTCTTTCTCCTTTAGCATAAGAAAGCAGTAAATAACCAAATTACATCACTTTAACCTTATTATAGAGGCAAAAACTGGTAATGAGTTGAACATATTGCCCAAAAATCATTATCTGAAAAGACAGAAAGATTTACTTTTTTGTAATATCTGTGAAAGAAAATGTATCTACCAATCATGATTACTTGAACAATCTTCAACAAACCTTTAACATAATGCAATTACCTAAAGACTGTGTAAACTTTGTGGTTCTTAAAGGTCACATGCAACGTAAAACACAACTTTGCAGATTCTGATACCTTTCGGTATGGACTTACAGTAACAAATTATCAAAAATGCAAATTCAACTTATAAAGTTGAAAAATAACGCGGTAAAAAAAACCCCACGAAATCGGAGTTTAAACTATTCACTAAATTCACCCCAGCTGGGTAGAAAAGTGGTTTCAGTGGCACTGCGCTCATGGTGCATGTGCAGTGAATAGGTTCGCGCAGCTTGAAAGCGAGATGTACGGATTATAAGGTCATGAGCAGGAGTAGTCTAATCTTGGTTTTGTACACAAACAACAAATAGTAAATAATCTACTCGTTACATAAAAGAACCTTGCTAAGGATCTAGATCTACTCAGCTATGTGTCAACCAGTGAAGCGTTCGACATTTCAAGATGGAAAACCTTCGCTGGCGGTGAGTACTCGGAGTAGGCTTTGATGTGAACTATTTTTCTAATGTTTTGTTGATATTTCACAGTCACGAGCTTTTTATATGTTATGACAGGAGATTACCAATTTATCTGTTTATATAATTTCATTTGACTATTTCACCACACGTTCTTCTTACTGAGTCACTTTCTCAGTTCGATACTTAACATCAATGCCATTATTTAGCATTGTAAGATATGCCTCTGTCACAGACAAAACTCAATGTCTGTTTTATTGACACCTATGTGTCTGCCTGACTGTCTGCTAATGACAATATGCAATACACAACATCGATCACTGACCACATGCAATTTGAACTTAACACCTATCAGGCTATTCACCATAAACAAAACGCATTGATTTATGGCTCATGCACCTGAGTTCTGTCTCTGTCACATTATGTAATTGAAAATTTTAATATTAATTGTATATTTATATACTTATCCTATCTCACGGTATGCACTTCTCTCTCTTGATTCGACACTGAGTGGAACGATGTAAACTTTTTTCCTTAGGCCTCTCTTGTCCATCCGCCCAAGCACTCCATGCTACCCTCATTATAAGACAGCTTCCTAGCTCTCATGCAAAGCATGCGGCATGCACCACTAGCTGCCCGTGTGACTATCTCCGAATCATCATTCTCATTCTTGGAGCCACTGGGTAATATCAATCTTGGAGAATCTGCATAGCGGGGAGGATGGGCGGGAATCTGTCGCGTGAGATAGGATAAGTATATAAATATACAATTTATATTAAAATTTTAAATTTTTTAAACTTATCTTATCCCACGGTCGGACGGTGGGACGCAGATACCCTGTGTCTTCACAGTGCGAACAGCAGGAACTGTGTAGACTGGAAACGACAGTAGATAGCGATGCACAAGGGAGGCCTGTTACGCATGCACGCAACTCCTATGCTTGTGTTGAGTTCTCTTGAACTCCTTGGCTTACTAAGCACAACGTCTCCCAGGGAGATGGGTGCTCCCGAGCGATGTGGTGTTCGGCCGCAACCTCCGAAGAAGGATGCAGCTCAGCGAGAAAGGATGTCACTTCGCCACGATTTTCAAGGTACCCCCGTAAATTAAAGTCGGTTGACAATAATCGAGAAGACCACCACAGACACCGACCAGGGGCGGGTAAAAGAGAAGCACAACTCGGGAACTCCAAGTTTTAACGTTCAGTTCCGGGACAGCATCAAATTGACACTCACTCCTTTGCATAAGCTTAGTCAAAGGATGTGCCCAGCAACTTTGAAGTCGGAACGCAACGAAATCCACTGGAATTCGTGAGTGTCACACTTCACTGACGTAATTGCTCCGTGGAGTAGAGGACAGTAAGCATGAATGTCAAACACCTCTGCATCGCCGTATTCTGATGCCTTGGTATGGAAGCCAAGTGAAGTAGTTCTTAAACCCATAACTTGAGAACAATGATTGAGATCCTGTTCAACTTTGTTCTGTATGTAGAAAGAAGCAGTAACGCGCAAGCGGAACTGTCCCTCAACTGCGTCGGTGGGCTGATGTAAGCTGCTGAGGTCCGAACTAGTGTAGTCCCAGGACATCTGTGACAGACAGGTCTCGCAGTTAAATGTGAAGAGAAGACTATATCTGAACGCCAGAAGCAACCTTCCATGAGAGCGTTTGCTACGGAAGGCCATCGCAGAGGCTAATGCATGAGTCTCATGAGGATTGGCGGCGGCAACCCTGCAAAGTGGAGGCTCACAGGATCGCGCAACGCATTCAGAAAGCCAATGTGGCTCGGGAAACCTCAGCTCTTGAAGCGGCCGACAGGGTATGAAGAGGCGCTTTCATAGGCATCAATGATCCTTGGAGGCAGCAAGGTAAAGGTGTAGAGCCCTAACAGGGCAGAGTGTCAAATCTTCAGTATCATCAGGCCCAAAGATGGACAATGGGGGAATGGTAAACATCCAGTCCGGTTGCCCTGGCAGTTGGTTTTTCATGATGAAGTCCCAGTGGAGACCCATGAAAAAACCTTGCCATCCTTCTTCCGCTCGAACCGCACACGATTGACAACAAGAGCGTGAAGCTCAGATGTACGAGCAGCAGTATTCATGCTACCAGGAAGAAGAATGTCACTTCACTCAATGTCCCTGTCTTCTAAAGGTTTGTAGTCTGTAGAATCACATGACGAAGGACAACGGACAGTTCCCAGGCCAGAAGTCTGAACTTCCTGGACTGGTCGGTGAGTTGTAGAAGTGAAGAAAACTCTGCAATTCTGGAAGAGTGGAGATCTTCGTACCCCGAGTTAGTAGCCAAAACCGAGTTGATAGCAGCCAGTTAGGTAGCTAACGTAGTACCCTTGAGTTCCCTAGTAGCACGGAGATGCTGCAGGAACGCAGAAACGACCTGAGTAGAGGCAGATTGGGAGATGGATTTCCCTAATGTTACAACAGCCTTCAAACTTCTTCCACTATCGTCGTAGAAAGAACAGGTCGAATTACGATGAACTGAAGTGATAGCTGTGGCTACCTGACGAGAGTAGCCTTAGCTATGAGTAATCTCTGGAGATGCGCAAAGTGTAGATTAAGGGTCTGAGGGGACCAGAGGCGTAGTTCCGGGTGAGGGTGAGGGTGAAAAAGCAGGTTGCCCCAGTCGGGAAGCGGTACTGGGTTTGGCTCTGCCAGGCTTCTTAGGTCAACAAACTAACTTCTCGCTGGTCAGGACTTAGTGCACAACCAAAAGCAGTAGATCTTGCTGGTGGCCAACAGCTTCTGTATTACGCATGAACACCAGAAATGGGCTTCACACATTATACCCATGTGGGGATTTGAACCCGGTCTTCGGCATGACGGGTTCGGGAAGATGAATCAGTTCCTTGGGATTGTCGGCCTAAAGGTTCAGGCACAAAAAGTGCTGTAACGGCCGAAGCTGAACTCTGTACGTTAGGGCTTGATCTGACGTCAGAAAGCCTAGTAGCTCCTGCCACTGATATAGCACTGGGGCAACACATTGCTAGATCTTCATCCACCTGTCTTGAAGGGCAAACATCATCAAACAATGATTGATGAAGTGGGGTCTCTGGATCGATGTTAGTTTCGATTCCACAATGTACCATAGCCGCCCTAACTGCAGGAGCAGCATGGTGGTGAACTGCAGTTGGCGAGGTACGAATGAATCCTGTTGTGCCTGGATGCAATCATCAATGTAGCTTCGAAGGTGAAGTAGCGCCTAAAGTTGACCTCTGTAAGTGAAGGCTAGTGCTGAGGTAAGGACACCTACCAACTCTTGTCACTGATGTAGGGATATCTCTCCTGAGATAGGAACGTTTAAATAGTCAAGCTACCATGGCAGCACTGACCGAGTGCTGAATGTAGTAGAGTCGGAGCATAGAGACTGTCAGTCAATCTACAGGAACGTTCACACTGTGCACGGAGTGATGAAGGTCGTAAAATCGGTGATCTCAGAACGTTGGTTCGCCAAATGAAGTATTGGTCCGCCAGATGAATTGATAAAGTTAGTAGATTCGACGCATGGAGATCGTCATCTACCGAAACATTTGTAAAGTAGCTGTAATGACGAAGGTTAAAAAGCCCGTCAACGTCAGGTAAGGTTCGTCTGGGAGACGAAGGCAATAAAATAGGTGCCTGGGGACCATGCGAGCAGAACTGCAGTGACCTCTGAACTGAGGGCTTGGGCTAAAGTTGAAAGCCGAGTAAACTGGCTCTCGGCTGGCTGAAGAATCCCGACATAATCACTCTAATGGCACTGTTCATCGTCACTGGCAATAAAGGCTGGGATTGTTATCCGCTTGTAGGACCTAGACAGATATGTCAGTGTACTTCATAGTGACTCTAAATATCATAATTCTCCAGTCAACAAGGTGTAGTCTGCCATTTGCAAATGGTACCCACAATGCAACAGTGACAAAAATCCGGACAACACGGTCTTCAGTGAACCGTGCGAGGCACAACTCCGTAACATCCCGGTAAAGGGATGACAGCTACTTGACAAGACATCAGTACTGGTTCCATGCGCAGAAACTTGACCCATCTGTCCAGAAGCTTGCTGATGTAAAGGAAAGGGTGATGAAGATGACAAAGCAGGCCATGATTACACCATAACGCTGTTACGAGTAGTTTGTAGTAACAGGACCCAGTGAAGCGTCGGAATAATTCCTACATAGCATGCCTGTCTAGTAATGCACAACGAGTGGTTGTGGAGTTGATATCTACGCCCAAGGGTAGACTCCTAAACCAAATCATTCATCAAGGTGAAGATCGGAAGGTAGATAAATCCGGAATGATATGAGCTCTGGTCACGTAGTCTAAGTCTGGGAGATCAGGGATCGTCAGAGCGTCAAGTGCCAGCATAATCTAAATGTCTGTGCTACTGACATAGCTACTTCATCTGTTCAATCAGCAGAAAGGGGGGTACCAGGTGGGATAAGTCATGTGACAAAAATCTTCTATTGCCTCACATGCCGTAGGGTAATCCAGAGGGCCAAGTTGAATGGTCATGCTAAGAGCATGCCACTCCGTGGTGAGGAATTCAGTGTATCACAAATGCCCTGAATATTAACATCGTGTTGAAAGCTGGTAGAGTTTAATTAACAGCTGGTATAATTGACCGCATCTAGATGCAAGGTCATGATTCTCGATGAGCATAAGTTCTGATCCGTCAAGTTGAATGTAGTAAGTAGAGCATCTGGTATCTTGGTCAAGATAGATGTAGATGAGTGAGTGAGTGAGTATGATCTTGTGCCGGATAGCTGTAGCTGTAACCAAGTGACCATGTGTGTCGAATGAACCAACATTATTGCTGTACCTTAAAGGCGGCATGGTTCAGCAATGCTGGCAGTTTGGTGAATACTGATGGTTCGGCGAACGCTGTCGGATCTGCGATCTGGCACGGTTCAATGACCAGGATCGGTTAAGTGATCTGGCCCGGCGAGGTAGTATCTGAAACGGTACTATGATCCGGTTCTGGTGCGGCGACTCAGTTTGACCCGACGAACTAGTTCGGTGATGAGCAGATTGATCTGGTTAACTAGTACGGGGATGTTGTAGTGAATCAGTTCGGCGATGTGGTTTGGACGAGATGAGCCATTCTGTGCAGAAGAATTAGTTTGATGATGTCGCGGCGAACCGGCCTGCCGAATCAGTTCGACGATGATACTTGGATGAGTTCGGTGAACCATGGGACGGCTGGGAATCAGTGACTGCTGATTCGATTCAACGGTTCAACGACCTCCGGTTTGAGGAAAGCCGGGCTGGCGAACTTCGGTTCGGTTGAATGCCAATTAATTAGATACAGCCATGGTTCGTTGACGAATGCTAGTTCGTTGAATGCGCATTCGGTCCCTGTAGAGGGAGCAAACTGTTGCTGATTCCAAGCAGTAGTGAATAGCACTCAACATCGCAGCCAGATCTGGGGGAGGAGTAGTTACCAGCGCAGGAGTCTAGGAATCTGGTACAATCCGAGTAGACTAGAGACACGCGAGGAGGCAGGAGCCCTGTCAGAAGTCGTAGCATGCTGATATCTATAATCGGAGCCCCGTTGAGTAGATCTCCTATCTGCAGAACCATATTGATGTCTGGAGGGGGACAAACCAGACGAAGACGCACATATGGAGACCCGATGAGGAGATCGGGAACAAGGAGGGGAAATATCATAACGAGAATGATGATCCCTGGATCTTGAACGATAGGCAGCAGTCGATCATGTAGGAGATCTAGGTTGACGGGTCGAGTGCGTAGAAGAGGAAGTCCAATGCTGACGAGAAGACGAAGTCCGAGGAGGTGACTTCGATCGAAGAACCGATCTCAACGAAGTAGATGGAGGCGTTGCTTAGTTGAATGCAAAGGAGTCGAAGAGTGGCGTCTCGGCGGTGAAGTAGATCTACCAGGTCTATCCGGTGAACATATCCGAAGAATAATAGGAGCCTGGTGAAAGCCGTGTCCATGCTGAGGAGACATGACTGTAGGATCCAGAGTTCGGGGAAGTACACAGATGATCCGGAGAAGGGCGTTCCGTCGAATACCGCTTGGAAGAAAGCCGTATCGGCGGAAGTCGGTTCATCACATGCCGTTTCAGTGAAGTCTTCCATTTCGACGAACGTTGATTCGACAAAGTTTGATTAGGTGAAGTCTTATTCGACAAAGTTCGATTAGGTGAAGTCTGTTTAGAAGACGATCGATCCGGAGAATGCCGAAGTGTAGACTGGCCTTTCGATGAAGACCGGTTCGGCTAAAGCTGTTTCGTAGAGAGCCGGTCTAATTCTGGGGAAGGTGGACAGTCCGGCGAAAGTCGAGGTGGAGGAGAGCGGACAGGCTAAACATGATCCAGCGAACTGTGATTCGATCTGGCAGGCTTTGGCGAAGCAGAAGATTGAGGTAGCTGGACGCAAGACACACTTCTTTTCACCGAATGGGAAGGAGATGGCGAAATAACCATTGACAGGCATTGAGCCGAGTTAGACTGGTTCCTCTCACTACTGGATGAACGACGAGAGCGAGAACGGCTTCTGCACAGTCAGGCGTAGAGATCAGCTGATTCTTGTCCAAAACAGATAAGCCAGGTTGCAGAGATAAATGGTCCGGTGAACAAGAGACAGAGCGTAGTTCGAAGGTCCCGCTGTGTAGAGGTATCCTGAGGGGTGGCGTCAGTCTCCACAACCACTACCCGGGACGTGGTCAAAGATGAAGGACTCGGGCTGGAATGTTGAGAGCCCAACGAATGCTCCTTCATTCGAGTGAGGGGACTGTGACCGCCGAGCAGACAAAGTAGGATGCTTAAACTTTCCTTACTTGGAGGGACTGGATCCGTCAAGTGAAGCGGCATAACGAGCCCTGTCAGCAACACGACGATCGCAAGCCCGAGTGTAGTCACCAAGTAAGAACCTTGCATTTTTCGCAACGAGAGTTCCATTTACACTGTCCCATACAGTCAATACAATATCCATGTGGATCACTCGTGGAGAACACTTTATTACACCGGGAGCATTTTTTCCTCTTCTTGGGCTTGTCAACTTTCCCCATGTTGTAGACTAAGTTGAAAACGTTGAGCAAAGCAAAATACGACAAGAAAGAGAATGATGATTCGGAGATAGTCACATGGGCAGCTAGTGGTGCATGCTGCATGCTTTGCATGAGAGCTAGGAAGCTGTCTTATAATGAGGGTAGCATGGAGTGCTTGGGCGGATGGACAAGAGAGGCCTAAGGAAAAAAGTTTACATCGTTCCACTCAGTGTCGAATCAAGAGAGAGAAGTGCATACCGTAAGATAGGATAAGTTTAAAAATTTACACAGACAGGCAGGTGTGACACTTGTACACATGACATGTTATGGTGTCTGTTCATTGCAAAATGTTATACACAAAAAATGAGCATGTATTTACAAAACCCAACATCTCTATACACACACAAAGAGTGTATCGGCCAATGAACCAGCCAGTGAAAGGCTTCATTACACTTAAGTGCACGCCCACCTGCTCTGACACGGTTCGGTATCCCGGGTGCTTTGTTTCGAGGGAAGTAAACCCAAGTACAAAATATTGCACTTTTGATTGTACGCTTATAATTTTGTTTATTTGTTTTTTCATAATCAGCAATGTATATTATAATGAATAAGTCATGAATAAGTGATAATTGTGTTTTAATTATGTTTGGTTTTTTTGTTGCATGTGACCTTTAAGAATATTTTTCTTCTCTTTTTGAAATTTTGATTCTGGAAACAAAATGCAGTCATCATTTGAAGTTACATGCATGCCAAATTCAATTATTGTCAGTCAAGCAGTTGAGAGAACTTAAGGGTGTGGTAAAACTGTAAAGGTCTAAACAAGTTAGCATTTCCTAATACCACAACAATGCAAGACCTCAACTCCCAACCACACATACCTAAAATATCATCACTTTTTATAAAAAGTGGTTTCAGAGGTTTTTCAGTATGGGTACCACAGCAAATTTATGGATCATCATGGATGTGAACAATTATTTGATATTTCATTGGTAAAGTGTTTTTCAGGAATGGAGATTGAGATCAAGAGGTGAGGTGAAATGGGATATAATGGCGTACTTGAGAATATTTCGCTCATATGACATGTGTATGTGTGGCTGCTTGTACTAGCCCAGACTTTAACTGGTTTTATAGTGCTAGCCCACTGAGATACCATGCTGAAGTTAAGCACTCAGACACATTATACTGACTCCGAGCCAACCAGTCCTTGTTGTACTCATAAATGCAGAGCGCGCCAGGCAGGGACCAACAAGTACCATATTTTAACGTCTTTTGGTATGATGTAGCCGGGGATCGAACCCGGGATCTACCGTTCTCCAGGTGGATGCTCTAACTATGACACCATAGAGGCGTAGAGATGGAGATGTTGATGATGATATTGTGTTTATATAGACATATATGACATACTGACCTGTGAGCGATCTAAATGGACATCTGTATTTCTTAATAGAATTGTGTATAAGGACATGGCGCTTGAGTTTGTCCTTACGGTTGAAACATGCAGAGCATGTGTCACATCGGTATGGTTTCTCTCCTGTATGAATCAGTGTGTGAGTCTTCAAGTAGTTCTCTGTCTTGAATCTCTTCTTGCAAGTTGAACATTCAAACTGACCTACAAACACAATGTTTATTCAAGCATAATGGAAATCTGTAATCCATGTGTAATCCATAACAGCTTCAAGTGGTACATTATTTCTACATTTCAGAGTCAGTTACACAAGACATGCACATATTTCACCAACTGCTCCCATTAGCAAGTACCTGCAAAAACTGAAGCAGGTCCATTATGAGGCCCAAGAAATCTTACATAACACCATGCATTACAAGTATGATGGCACTACCTACAGCTGGCGATGGGGAAATGAAGGACTACTAAAATGAACACCAGATTAAAGCTCCAGCTCAAATAATGAGGACCCTGCTGTATTTCCACTCTGATGATATCTGCATTCTTAAACAAAGTTAAAACAAAAGGAACTTCATTTCTGTTTAGCATAACACCGCTGTGAGATACATACTTTGATGGAATTACTTGCTTATTAATTTTCAGTGTAATCTTCTCTGAGCTGGACACATACTCCTGCCCAAGCCGCTGGAGTTTGCAGATCCCTCTGTTTGCCTGTTGTTTAGTGTCTGTCTGATAATGGTTAATCACCACAAGTACAAATGGTGACAAATACCCGACTGATCAAGAAATGATGAGATGTCCTAATCCATCATTACAAATTGCTAAACAAAATCAGCTGGATGTTTTTCAAAATGACAGAATTTCTCAAGAGAAATGATGAGCCTGGAGCACATCTGATCAGGAGTCTCAGAAGACTTGGCGGTCAGTGTGCGGAAAACGCTGTCACGTCCAGATTCAATCCTTAGATCCAACTCTTTCATGAGAAATGCCTGATGTATTGACTATGTGACATGTGGTTAGTTATCAATAATCATAGTATTTTATCAGTAGAGGTGCTAGTTTGCAGGTCTTCCTAATCTTCTCACACCTTGGACCTTCCCACTTTTAAAAGGAAGGAGCATCATTCCCTGAAGTTTTCACATGTCTACATGAATGGTTGTTGGAGTTCTTCCAACTTTGTCCATTTCAACTAATGAGAATACCTAGACACCTTGTCTGGACAATTGCCGCCTGGTTGTGTGTTTGGTTTGAATGCAGGCTGTAAACATGAGAAGTACTGTGTTTCATAGATCTGATCTGAAAACTTTATATTCCATGTTTGCTTCTCCTGGTATCTTCCTTCACAGTGTCCACAGTATTCACCGTGTATTTACCTTGTTTTATACAGTAGGTCTAGTAAGCACAAGTTATCAGAACAAGTTTTCACATTGTTCTTCAACATCTATCTCAATATGTTGTTACTATACCAGGTGTGAATATTAAAAATGTTTTTGAGTTTTGCAGATTAACATATTGTATCCACAATAATGGTTAACCTAAAAAAGAAATCTTTAACAGATCTGATCTTTACAAAATTGTTTGAAAATATGGCTGATTGACTGATGTGCACATGATTCTCAAAAAGATGCCTTACCCTCGGTTCCATGTGTGGGGAGATGACGTCGTAGATATCTTTCACAGGCAAACACCTTGTCACAGTGAGGACACCCATAGCTGTGAGTGGTGGAAGCCATGTGGTGCTCTAGTGCTTCTGGAGTTGAATACTTGTTCATACACTTTGTGCACTGGAAATGCCTGAAAAACATGTAACAAGCAACTAGAAGCTTGGTATAGTGGTATTAGAGGGGCATTAGAGGAGCATTGTAGGATTATTAGCGGAAGTAGTGCGTGGGTAGAATAGAGTGATGACTTACAAAATCACAAAATATATTCATTCCTTATGTTTTAGTTCAAGATTCAAAAAAGTACATAAGGCTAAGAAAGAATTCATAGAAAAGTAACAATTTTCACATAAAAAGCCAACTTTTCCAAATGTACACTATTTGCTAGATTGTTTTGTAGTTGACAAATTTCCTTTGGGTGAAGAATTCAATATGACTGGCATGAAATATATGACAATACTGCAGAAACACCTTTTTTTCATATATTACATAATTTGAAAAGCAAATGTCAAAATGAAATTAGTGAAGAGCAAAAACAACTCTTGGTTCAGGTGAGCTAAGAATGTAAACTAAGATTCTCCTTTAAAAATTTGAGTTGGGTCAATGCTTGTCTGAGGATGTATAGGGATAATTTTACTTGATTCTTCAAGTGAATTATTTGTGTATCCAGTAACAACAACCTGTTTGTTTTCCCGCCAACATAAGCCAGCAATAATTGCTGATATGACTACCTTGGTCCAGGCTTGGGTCCTTGGTTTGGATACAGGCTGTGGCTGTACTGATGGACACCCAGCTCATACAATGAAGAAAAGTACTTGTTGCACATATGACATCGATATGACATTTCATCTTCATGGGTCTTTGTATGCTCCAAAAATGAATCCAAATCAAGAAACGTACATCCACAATTTTTCATCACACACTTGTAAACCTGAAAACAGAATTAAGTCAGTCATTAATCATGTTAATCTGAAACTGGTCCTGTGACACTGTAGCTCAGCTAGATGAGTAACCAACAGCTTAATATGTTAAAACAGACTTTATAAAATGTGCCTCCACCTTATCAAGTAGACCCAAAACTGTCAAACCTTATACTGAGATAAAAGAGGAAAAACTGAAAAGCATTAGATTAATCGCAGGGAAGTATTGATTTTGGCATCTTAGAAAAGAAACACAAAGCATCCTCATGCTTTAAATTTAATAGTTCATGGCAAATCTGTACTTTATTACTCTATACATGGGGGTAGAGCGAACTGTATTCCTTAAATTCAGTGTGCCTGCCATAAAACTTGGATCACATAGTTTGAACAAGATGTGTTCAGTTCCCAAAATAGCAAATGTCATGACATGGTGAAAATGAGGAACGATGATAATTAGGTATGTACATGCAATATGTCATCCCTGTACAAGCAATACTCCAGCTACAAGATGGCCGCCTGTTACTGATGATATAGTGAGCAACTACCACTGACAAGCATTGCTCCAGTACCTGTTGTTGTTTGTGTATAACTGTACCTGCAATACTCCAGCTACAAGATGGCCGCCTGTTACTAATGATATAGTGAGCAACTACCACTGACAAGCATTGCTCCAGTACCTGTTGTTGTTTGTGTATAACTGTACCTGCAATACTCCAGCTACAAGATGGCCGCCTGTTACTAATGATATAGTGAGCAACTACCACTGACAAGCATTGCTCCAGTACCTGTTGTTCCAGTATAACTGTACCTGCAATACTCCAGCTACAAGATGGGTCGCCTGTTACTAATGATATAGTGAGCAACTACCACTGACAAGCATTGCTCCAGTACCTGTTGTTGTTTGTGTATAACTGTACCTGCAATACTCCAGCTACAAGATGGTCGCTTCTGTTACTAATGATATAGTGAGCAACTACCACTGACAAGCATTGCTCCAGTACCTGTTGTTGTTTGTGTATAACTGTACCTGCAATACTCCAGCTACAAGATGGCCGCCTGTTACTAATGATATAGTGAGCAACTACCACTGACAAGCATTGCTCCAGTACCTGTTGTTGTTTGTGTATAACTGTACCTGCAATACTCCAGCTACAAGATGGCCGCCTGTTACTAATGATATAGTGAGCAACTACCACTGACAAGCATTGCTCCAGTACCTGTTGTTGTTTGTGTATAACTGTACCTGCAATACTCCAGCTACAAGATGGCCGCCTGTTACTAATGATATAGTGAGCAACTACCACTGACAAGCATTGCTCCAGTACCTGTTGTTGTTTGTGTATAACTGTACCTGCAATACTCCAGCTACAAGATGGCCGCCTGTTACTAATGATATAGTGAGCAACTACCACTGACAAGCATTGCTCCAGTACCTGTTGTTGTTTGTGTATAACTGTACCTGCAATACTCCAGCTACAAGATGGCTGCCTGTTACTAATGATATAGTGAGCAACAACGACTGACAAGCATTGCTCCAGTAACAAGTATAACTGCAACTACCACTGCATTGCTCCAGTACCTGTTGTTGTTTGTGTATAACTGTACCTGCAATACTCCAGCTACAAGATGGCCTGTTACTAATGATATAGTGAGCAACTACCACTGACAAGCATTGCTCCAGTACCTGTTGTTGTTTGTGTATAACTGTACCTGCAATACTCCAGCTACAAGATGGCCGCCTGTTACTAATGATATAGTGAGCAACAACGACTGACAAGCATTGCTCCAGTACCTGTTGTTGTTTGTGTATAACTGTACCTGCAATACTCCAGCTACAAGATGGCCGCCTGTTACTAATGATATAGTGAGCAACTACCACTGACAAGCATTGCTCCAGTACCTGTTGTTGTTTGTGTATAACTGTACCTGCAATACTCCAGCTACAAGATGGCCGCCTGTTACTAATGATATAGTGAGCAACTACCACTGACAAGCATTGCTCCAGTACCTGTTGTTGTTTGTGTATAACTGTACCTGCAATACTCCAGCTACAAGATGGCCGCCTGTTACTAATGATATAGTGAGCAACTACCACTGACAAGCATTGCTCCAGTACCTGTTGTTGTTTGTGTATAACTGTACCTGCAAAACTGTACCTGCAATACTCCAGCTACAAGATGGGCCTGTTACTAATGATATAGTGAGCAACTACCACTGACAAGCATTGCTCCAGTACCTGTTGTTGTTTGTGTATAACTGTACCTGCAATACTCCAGCTACAAGATGGCCGCCTGTTACTAATGATATAGTGAGCAACTACCACTGACAAGCATTGCTCCAGTACCTGTTGTTGTTTGTGTATAACTGTACCTGCAATACTCCAGCTACAAGATGGCCGCCTGTTACTAATGATATAGTGAGCAACTACCACTGACAAGCATTGCTCCAGTACCTGTTGTTGTTTGTGTATAACTGTACCTGCAATACTCCAGCTACAAGATGGCCGCCTGTTACTAATGATATAGTGAGCAACTACCACTGACAAGCATTGCTCCAGTACCTGTTGTTGTTTGTGTATAACTGTACCTGCAATACTCCAGCTACAAGATGGCTGCCTGTTACTAATGATATAGTGAGCAACTACCACTGACAAGCATTGCTCCAGTACCTGTTGTTGTTTGTGTATAACTGTACCTGCAATACTCCAGCTACAAGATGGCTGCCTGTTACTAATGATATAGTGAGCAACTACCACTGACAAGCATTGCTCCAGTACCTGTTGTTGTTTGTGCTGGACCATGTGTGTCTTCAGCTGGAAGTATGTTTTGAACTTGGAGGGACAGTACTGACACAAGTAAGAGCTGTCCACAACGACCTTCACTTTCCCATCAGTGTCTGCACCTGATCCGACAGCATCTTCGTCACCACTCACAACTTCACCCTGCAACATTGTGGGAACATTTACATCACCATAATCTAAGTCAAAATGTGGCAACGAGAACATCTTTTCTCACTCTCTTCAGCATAGTGTCTCACCTTCCAGCTCTTCCTGATATGTAGTCACAGCTTAAAATGTCAACATACAGAAATTTATCAAGTTATCAATCTACACCTGAACTAAGAAGAATTAATTCTGTGATACTTCATCATGAGGATGGCGACAGAGAGTGACATAAATCAAACCTAAAATGCAAGTGACATGGCATTGCAGTTTGCCTCGATATGTAGTCAACAGTTCAAAATGTCAACAATGCTACATACAAAACAAAAATTACAGCGTGCTGTTACAACACACTATATATATATCACTAAATTAGTTTCAGAATACTTGTTATTATGTAGCTGTGTTATGCCTTGTCAAACAATGTTTCAAGTGTTGAGCTGACAATGTACCTACTCAGTGTGTTGCCACTGTTGCTCCTGTAAATAATGTTTTCAGATTGTGATACTGATATTTCATCTAACTTAGGTGTTAACTTGGTCAATTGCCACCTAAGTGGAAGGATCCAGTGTAAGAGTTAATTCAAGAGTTGGCTCACTTGTGCTCGAATGTATGTGTCTGTACAGATTTAGTGTGTCATGATGTGGAAGTAGGAGACTATGTGCCTGTGAAACAACATCCCTACCGGATGAATCCAATCTAGGCAATGACATTATTGAACAAAGTCAAAGGGACTGAAGTCCACCTTGTATTCTTGTTGCTAAAGCCTGATGGAAGCTAAGGATGTTGTACATGAAACATGAATGCTGTTTCTAAAACTCTTAACTAAAACAAGAATCAAGAATTGGTCAAGCCAAGTACATCAAGTTTGTCTTAATGAGTGAGTGAGTGAGTGAGTGAGTGAGTGAGTGAGTGAGTGAGTGAGTGAGTGAGTGAGTGAGTGAGTGAGTGAGTGAGTGAGTGAGTGAGTGAGTGAGTGAGTGAGTGAGTGAGTGAGTGAGTGAGTGAGTGAGTGAGTGAGTGAGTGAGTGAGTGAGTGAGTGAGAGTGAGGAGTGAGAGGAGGAGTGAGTGAGAGGAGTGAGGAGTGAGGAGTGAGTGAGTGAGTGAGTGAGTGAGTGAGTGAGTGAGTGAGTGAGTGAGTGAGTGAGAGTGAGTGCGCGGCGTGCGTGCGTGCGCGCGTGCGCGCGTGAGTGAGGGTTTATGCCGCTTTTAGCAACATTCCAGCAATATCACGGCAGGGGACTTCACACAAAAAGGAACTTATGAAATTTCTGGGAATGGTTGGTTACTACCGTAAATTTTGTCGGAATTCCTCACTTGTGACAGCTTCTCACACTAATTTGTTTAGTAAAAGAGTGAAATTTGTTTGGGACAGCAACTGTCAGGCTGCTTTTGAGACAACTGAAGCCAATCTAAAAAATTCTCTGTTCTCTAGGCACCAGATATCGAAAAACCTTTAGTGCTGGAGCTGTCCTGTTGCAGTAAGACGAGTCAGACTTTGATCATCCTGTTTAGAAATTATTTCACCATTGAAATACCTTCTTTATTTGTTGCTAGCACTTCAGCAATTTGTACCTTGGTACTACTTTGCCTTCCTATACAAGTGTACACTGATCACAATCCACCAACCTATCTTCATAAAGTAAAAAACAAAAACTAATGCCTCATGTCTTTTCAGGAATTTGATTCAGACATGAAACAGGCAAGAAATTGCATTATCACGACTTGGTTGAGGGAGATCAGCTTGGACTGCAGAGATGATTTGTATTTTGTGTTAACATATTTCACGGTTATGCACAATGTTTACTATTATTAACTAAACCATGCCACCAGAAAGGCAAAGTATCAGTGGGTGCCTATTTGTCAGCCAGGAAAATGTATAAATCATCTTGTACAAAACAATAGTAATTGTAAACAAAAGCAAATGTGAAATTTGAATGAGACAATGGATAACTCTGAGATATTTTGGCTGAAATTCACATCTCTGTCAAAACTGTATTCTGCAGAAAAAGTTTTTAAAATCAAACTTGTTTTGATTATTTCAAAAATCTGATAACTGGAAATGATGTTGCAGTCCTGGATTAGCCTGATTTGCCAGTTTGTGTTACTGAGGGTTATAACCAAGTTGATGAATAAAATGCATCAATCAGTAGAGATGAAACTTTTAGCTTAAAGCCCATGGTGATGATATCATAAGTGAACAGCCAAGTCCCTTCATTGACCCATTTATAGAAATATTATTTAACTCTTTAAATGACAACTGATAGTTTCCTTTACCTTGGCCCAAGGCCATAATTATCCCAATACACAACAAGGGAGAAAAAAACAATCGTTAGAACCTTTTAGGTATATCTCTATTAGTGTATTTGGAAAGTTTTATACAAATATTCTGAATAGTACAAGGGAGATATACACTTCCTTATTACAATATATGCATATACCGGTATATAATCACACTAAAGATAAGTGCCACTCAAAGAGGTCCTGAATAGTTGACTGATATATGTTTTGATAAATTAAAACAAGAACAAACTGGGTTTAGAAAAGGTTTTTCAATAATTAAGTTTTATTAATACAATATCTACACCTCAGGGGTTAATAAAAGCATATCTGTCAAAGAGGGGTAAGATATTTTATGTCTGCTTTGTAGACTTTTCTTAGACTTCTGATTCTGGGAATAGGCAGAAATTGTGGTATTTATTGAAAAAGAACTGTCTTAGTACCAAAATGTATCTAGTGTTAAAGTCAGTCTACAAAAATAATGAAACATGTATACGAAAATCCAGTAGTTTAAATACAGAGAATTCTGACTGTCCAATTAGTGTCCGCCATGGCTGTGTTCAGAGCCCTTTAGTTTTCACACTTTGTAATACAAACTGGAAATTACTTTAGTTTTCTGCATATTAACCAAAAGTGACCAGGTGTAAGAACAGCATTAGTGATTTGTTTTCAAAGACCAATTACAGAATAAGAGAAAAGAACACCATTGTCCACCAATAAAAGTAAATATAATTCAAGCAAATTTGTGTATAACTGGAGGTTGTAATTTCACAAACCAATTTAACTGGGAGTAATAAACCCATATTAAAAAATATATCTATGTGTAACAAACCAACATTAAATATGTACATCATACTCATAAGACAAAAAATGTCATTCTGAAAAACATGATTACAGGCTGGTAGAGATGTATTTGTCACCATTGTTGGGAACATCATAGTAGACATCAGACAAAGAGAAAGCATACCTTATATTGAAGTTGTTGACTTGTGTTGACTGGTGTTGGATCTGGTGTGTTGTCACTATCCACAACAGCAGCTGGAGGAGGTTGCTTAGGCAGGGTTGCAACTGTCCCTGAAGGCCACACCTTGAGAGAGAAAAAACATGCTTTCAGATTTCTACTACATGCTGTTGTTAATGTTAATCTGCTGCTTGTGACAACATACCATGTGTATATGCTCCTCACCATTTGGTTGTACTCACTTTTAGCTTGATAACGATGTAAGAATCTACATCAAAACGTCGCTCAATGCAAATAAACCAGAAGTTGTCATCCATAAAGTTGTATGTTCATTTGTTGACTCACCAACTTCTAGAGTGCCGATCGAACAATTAATAGGATAGAAGAATGTGATCTAAGCAAACATTTGGACAACAAAAAGGTTAATTTTGAAGGGGTGGTTTGGATTACTGGTGCACTGAAAATTTTCCCCAACCATCAGGTTGAAAATGAGAGAGTGACAAGTCACCGGCTAGGTCACATGCTTCTTCTGCGGATATGAGGCTGGGGATGCGTTCAGGTTAAATGGTTTTCTGTTCTTGGGGAACACAAGCACTGGAGTTTCCACTACCATTCGGAAATGAGATGAGACAAGCAAACAATTAGTATGAGTCAGGATAGGGTAAATCATCTATTTTCAAATGCATTCACAATGCTCAGATTATTTTTCTCTAATAATAGACTAATAAATGACTAATAACAGTTTTTCACTATTATACCCAATTACATCCATGTAGTTTAAAATAACCCATATTCCTGAAAATATGCAAATGTAAAATTCACTCACTACCAGAACTGAATACCTACCAATGGGCTGCCATGCTTGTCCTTGATGGTAGTCTAATAGGTGACTTGACATTTGGCCAGACATATACATACCTTGTGAGTTGCCATGTGTTTCTTGACGTTCGACTTCTGAGCAAATGCCCTCCCACAGACAATACATTGGAAAGGTTTCTCCCCTGTATGGGCTCGCACATGCTGCTGCAGGTCAAAATTCTTAGCAAACATCTTATCACAATACTGGCAGCGCAGTCTCTTCTTGGAGCAGCAGTTGTCCTCAGCAAGTTGAGCTGCAAGTTTTGTTTGTTTCCGTGCCTTGTTAGTTGCCTGACCGTCAGTCCCATTCATAACAGTCTGTTGGACACTAGATTGTGCACTTCTTCTTCCTAAACATATCAATAACGTCATTGCTGGAAACTGTACGAAGTACAAACATAATGGGAAAACTGTTTGCACTGAATTAAAAAACAGGTACATCCCTTACCAAGCTATCCTTACGTACACCAACACACCTGTAAGGGAATCACTTACATGCAGGTCACAGCATGGAAGACAGAATAAAGTAGTGTCATTCAATATCATTTTTAGATTTGCTTCACACTATAATCACTAAAGTGCTGTCAGAAATAGAAAAAAAACAACTGTTTTAGGCCATTACTCTGTATCCCTAAAATTTACACAATTGCAAATGACATATGTCGAAATAACCCACATCGGCCTAACTTGGCGTTCAGGATGTGTAATAGGATATCTAGAAAAGCATGTTTACTCGTAAAATCGGGCAAAACTTAGCTGCAGAAAACAATAGATCAGACTATAGATGGCAATTAGGTCGCTCAGCCAGGTATGACGATGGATCGTTGACTCCTCTGGCATGAAATGCACATGCTGCATTCAGGCACAAGGGGTCATCTCAAAGATATTTTATGCTTTTTCATATGTGTTGAATATGTTTCATCTATTGTTTGACATTTTATGTGTCTTTCTTTCATAAAGTTTATGTTGACATATGTAAAAGAGTATGATACCCCTAGCAAAGCTTAAATCAGCCATCGTATTAAATGTCTCAAAATGTGTAGGTGGCATGACCACCCGAAGATCTACAAGACTGGATATTATTTGTAAATGACATACCGTTTGCTTCCCCAGTTTAATTCCCCTAAAGGATTATCTTGTCTTAGCTGATATCTCTATTCCCCCGCCCGACCCCATCTACCGCCTGCGACACACATCCTGGTTTTGCTCTTGAGACGACCCCTCCTACCTGTTTGTTCTTATAGTGATAGTGAGATTCCATGGTAGCTAGATCCTTAATAATTTTAGTATTAACGGGATCGTTTATAATGAAGCTAAGTCTAACTGCAAAATGGGCATTTAAAAATTGTCTTTTGTAATACAATATCATCTCACATTAATCTGGATAAAGTCATGGTCTGTTCCAAATTTGTCGCTTTGGACTTTTCAGTCCAGATTTATTGATATGGTAGCAAAATGCTTACAGGAATCTCTTCGCTTCCAGAAAAAAAGGCCCTATACTCTTTGTTGCAAGTACTGTGCTCACATCCTATGCTGATTGCAGTTCTGAATAACATTTGATACATGCTAATCTATGGGATGTTCCAGCACCATGGACCAGGTAGCCTAATTACAACATATTGGTATAGGATAATGTATATATATCACTGAAGAGGTATAACAAAAAGAAACAAATATGACACTGTAGAAAGTAACAAACCTGCTTTTGTTGGACTTGGTTTAGCCACGTTGACCAGTGTCTTATCTCCTGTGTGAACAGGTGTTATAGTGATCTGTGGTGCTGTCTGTATGTGGACTTGGTTGGACGTGATTGTGTTGGTGAAGGCTGAGCCACTAGAGGAGAAGGAAGGCACTGTATTCACAGGACTAAGTATGGAGACATTTGCAGAACCAGCCCGGCTTGTCAAAGGAGTTGTCACCTGCAACAAGCATGATAAGGTGTGCATGTACTATCTTCCACAGAACATGTATTATAAACAATTCCACCTTGACCAATAGTCCTTGGCCTCCCAACATTTCAAATTGATGTGACTGAAACTTTGAATTAAACTACCTGGGATGTTTTGTTTGCGTGTCATTCAATGTGACACAAAGCAGTTTTCCAGCTACAGGTTGTAGTCAATATTTAAGGACCAGACAAACAAGTCATTGACGTCATGAACATTGATTTACCCAGATGGGAAATGATGGAACCAAGTCTTGTTAGTTGACACTTACAACAAGCACGGTTTGCTGGAGACCAATTCTTACCATGATCTTCATGGGTATCTTGCAAACATTATTCTCCAAACTTCATACTCATCAACATGAAATGATAACACCTACTTGGTGTTAAGATCATAACACCATTCACACACACAATACAATGGTAAAGAGTCACAACATCAAAGTTAACAAATATCCAAATGAAGCTACTAATTTGTGATAAGAGGGAGAAGACTGCTCTGTGATAAGCAAATGAACATTTTTTTAAGAAAAAGCCAATCCATATTTCAAAACTTTGAACGATGGAGTGATGTTTCCCTTTAAGTGTCATATTATGAAAAGCACTCTAGAACGTTCAAAGAGTGACATTGTTGACCAATAGCCAGAAAACGTCTATCACAGATGTTAGATTCAAAGAATAACACAATAAATCAATAATGGGACAAATTACATTAACACATCTGAGTTGGTGTTTATAATTGGATCAGAATGTTACAAGCATTTTTAGAGATGATATGCTACAGGAGTTGTACAAAATAGGGTATGCTCCATTTTCAAGCAACAAGTTCCATGCATGCACGCTTACATTTGTGCTAACATGGCCAGACCAGTTCATATCTTGAATTTCTGCTTTTTGGTATCCAAGGTGGTACTACTCAATATTACAAATTCTTACTCTGATGTGATGGTAACAGAATATAAATGGTTTACAGTTACTCGACTGAGTTATGCCCCTTTTTCTTTGTACAGATGTACACCTCTCCAACATGTTATAGGAGAAAATGGATTTTTGCCACATAAAACATGTAGGTGTGTGTAGCATTATATTGACTTTTGCCACATAAAACATGGGTGTACATCAATATATTGACTTTTGCCGCATGAAACATGTAGATGTGTGTATCAATGTATTAATTTTTGCCACAAAAAAGATGTTACAAACGTTATACCCCCCATCACACCAAACTCGTTCTCAGTACGTTCTTGAAAAATGTTTGGAGTGGGCTCTAATTGTGTGCAAACGAACTGGATGTAGTGGCAACTGTTTACAGTCTATTTAAGACGTCTAAACATAATACCAACTGTCTGGAGATGGGGTAAAGATGAGATAGACATACTGAGAACTGTTTTCGATCAAACTAGCATGACAATTTTTGCAAAAGTTACAAATTCTATCCTGTTCGCGCCCGTTTTACAATGATTTTGGGGGGAAATGGAAGCTTCATTCCCTTGAAATGGAAGTTATACTCAGTAAAGTTGGAACTGGAATGGAATCCAGACCCGTTTGATGTTGAAAATGGATTAATATGACCTATTGCGTTTTTGAGTCACACAAGGGCAATTTGAGCTGCTGACGATGAGTGTTGTCACTTGAGGTGGTGTGGCTACAATCCCAGATGCCACACAGAAACAGTGCAAAGTTTTGTGATTTCACTTGGCAAGTAGAACAATCTATGTAACTTCTAAAAAACACATAACAGTCTAGTGCAATATCTGAATAAAATGCATATTATTGTTCAGCAAGGAAAGTGTCTTTGCTGTTTGCCCACAGATCAATCAGAGTTTCTACCATTTGATTGGAAATTGTACTGGTAGAATCTCTGATTGCAATCTCCACCCATGATGTTTCTAAAGGTCATATGATGATACTGTCCCAGTGATTCCATGATGTGCTAAATATTGACAGTTCTGTACCTCTCTGCTTGATTGACAAAGCAATAACACAACATACTGACATTCACTGGGAAACGAATGACAGCTGGCTTGGTAGTCTTTGTCAAGGCAAGGTCACCACATACTGTCAATATTTTAGGACTGGAGTTGTATTTGTTGACATCCATCAGCTGATGAAGATTTCATGATGTGTGAAAGATTGACAGTTCTCTATTTCTCCACTCGACTGACAACACAATCATGTGACATTATCGAATAACATCTACTAAAGTTTGAAAGTAGTTGGAGATGGGGCCAAATACATCCTAGAGCTATTGAGAACAACAGGGCTCCAGATAAGGGCCGTATCGGCGTATGTACGGATTAAAAATATGCACGATACGGTAGGAAATAATTTAGGAAACGAAGCAGATACGCACCACAGCAATGGTGTATGGTCTTAGAATCATTTACAGATGTGTTTATCTGAATAAGTATTGCTTTATTGTTCACTGACCTGTTTACACAAGAGTAGCAATGCTGTGGTGCATATATGAAACGAAACACAAGATTACAGATACTCCATTAAATTCCATTCAGTACTCTAAATGAACTCTTAAGGTTTTTCCAGTACTCCTATATTGAACAAATAAAGAGTACATACTCCTGATGTTGAAAAATTATCTGGAGCCCTGAGAACATTGCTTACCATCTGCAGAGTCTGTGGTTGTAGATTGTGGTCCAGGCTTGCAAAGGTCATCAGGTCATCATTGAGAACCATTCCTTGTGCCAGCGGTTGTGGAACTGGTGAGGAGGGCACAGATGTTGTGTTGTACCCTCCCAGAGACTGGTATGGAAAACACAACTTATACTACAGCCATTTAAATATATGTCTGTTGGAATGAAGTTGATACTGTGTTCATCGTCCTGTGGAAGGAACACTACAGGATAGGCATTATCTCGGATGTAACGATACCTTGCCAAAAAAACTAACATGCCAAAATTGGAAACCTAAAATGCATTCCAGATCTAAAAAAAAATATGCAGTACAAGTCTAAACCAAAAAGTTATTCGCAGTTCCTCTTTAATGATACCACTTCTGTTTCAAGTCACTAACAGACAGTACCAAGCCTCTAGCTCCCTTAATCAAAATATTTTACACAAATGTTAAGAACACCTAAGGTATATAGAATTTTATTAGAAACCACATTTGGTTTGGGAAAAACACATGCACAAAGCAATATGTTGTAAAAGCAGACAGTCCCATGGCCCCAGCATGGGAGTACCACCATCTTCCAAGTCAGTTACCATCACCCTCGATTTCTTCAATCATGTGCTTGATCATTTGTAGTTGTATTTTTAGCTGGGGCTGGAAATTGATATACATCATAGAATTCGATAATCGTTAATTGAATATTTAAACATTATCAATACATATCTCAGAAGTACTTTGAGAAAAGAAGTCTAAAAGAAATCAATATACAAATGAGTGAGTGAGTGAGCTAAAATTTAACGTCACCTCGGCAATATTTCAGCAATATAGTGACAACATATAAATGTCTTTCACATCATGGTAAGTAGTGAAACGCTTATTATTACTAACAAAAACAGCATTCTAAACATAATTTAGAAGGTGCCCATGAATAAAAAGTAACTTTGAGTACTGTCTGTGTATTTTACAATTAATTTCAACAAAAATGTTTATGTAAGATATTATCAGAAAATCAATTTTCATATTGATAATCATTAATAATGCTTTCAATTGACATTTCCAGTTATTGATGTTCTAGATAGCTCTTACAAATATATCATCATGCCAACTCAGAGAGCTGGTTCTATAGACAAGGAAAGACAAGCACCTCATGACAACCATACATGTGACCACTTCATTACCCAACCCTAGGTGCTTTTAAGGATTTAAAGGGAGCCTTTGACTCTGTGTATAGAAATGGTTTATTTTTTTAAACTATGGAAAGGTGGTGTTAAGGGACGAATATTTCAAGTTCTAAAGAACATGTATAGATCTGTCAAAACTCCTGTCTCGTTAGATTGTGGTCTTTCAGATTTCTTCAAGTGTCTCTCAGGCGTTAGACAGGGATGTCAGTTGTCACCGTTTCTCTTTTCAATCTTCATTAATAACATTGTTGAGGAGCTGGAGTGTGAGGCTCACGGTGTTACATTACATGCTTTAGAATTGTTTATCTTGCTGTTTGCTAATGATATAATCTTAATAGACATGTCTGTTGTTGGTCTACAAAAGCAGCTTGACAAGTTGTCTGCATATTGTGATAAATGGAAGCTTACTATTAAGTAAAGTTGTAGTGTTTAGAAATGGCGGGAAGCTTAGACATCAGGAAAAGTTTAAAATTGGTAATGATGATGTGGCAACAGTATCCAATTATAAATATCTTGGTGTCCAGCTATCTTCCTCTGGTCTGATAGACACGTGTCACTTCTATTATAAATAAATAAATTGTCGTATCACAATTTTCAGTCCTTCACCGTGTCATGATGGCTAGACCAGTCAGGCGGGCTAGATTGGAATTACCTCTTGAACAGAAAATTCAGCTGATAAAATATTTGATGTAATTCCTCGGCCTTCTCAAAATGATCTTGCAATTAAGTACCAAATTGGCAGGCAAACAGTTTCGGACTTGAAACTTCGGAGTTATGAATTATAACGTAAATGTACTGGAAGCTTTACTGAACACCTACATTTGTGTTGGATACATGTACTTATGATGTTATCTTTATTGATGAATAAAGAATATGATGACTATCAACACATTGTTCAGTCGTATTTTACGGCACACGGAAGATCATACTCAGGTTGAAAAGGGAAAACTTCTCTAAACCGGCACGCCATCTATACCGGCACTTTTTGCCTGTCCCAACGCATTGCCGGTTTAGAGGGCTTCCACTGTATTACCAATTTTGACTTATGGATCAGAAGTTTGGGGATTCCATTCATCGCCGGATGTCGAAAATATACACACTAAATTCTGCACGTTAACTTGTGGATAGAGTAGAAATACTCCAAACAATTTTGTAATATCTATCTTGGCCAGAAATTCTGTCAAAGTGCCCCATCATTTAAAAATTGTAAAGTTTTGGCTTAGATTATTAACTAAAGAAAGCTTATACTTTTCAATATAAAAGGGCAGAGAACGGTAGTGCTTGCTGGGCACTCAAGGTTAAATCATTGTTATTTTCTTACGGATTCGCAGAGGTTTGGATTCAACAGAGTGTTGGATGGGCTGATTTATTCTTACACCAGTTTAGGCAAAGATGTGTAGACATGGTGAATCAAATCTGTCATGAAAATATTCAATCTTGCTCTAAACTTGAACTGTTCTTTGCTGTAACAGATCATTCTCAATATCATAACTGGGTTCGATTTATCGATGTAAAATTATTTCGAATTAATATTTTAAATTTTCTTGGATCTAATCACAGTCTTCTAATAGAAACCTGCAGATATTATAGAATTCCACGAAATGAACATGTTTGCCCTTTTTTGTATTATACCAGTTGTCGAGGATGAATTTCACTTTTGCCTCGCGTGTCCATTTTACGTGTCTCATACCTCAATATTTTCACTTGTTTCCAACTCGCGAGAAAATGGTCTTGTTATTTTGCTCCACTAATCATAATATATGCAATAATCTGGCAAAATATATATTTCTTGCCGCTAAGAAACGTGATTCCTTTTTCAAAGGGATATCTGTGAAATGATCTCTTAGTTACACTAATGTCCTTAATGTATGTGTATTTATATACAGCGCTCATGTCACAATTGTACTTCATCATGCTGTGTACTTGTATAATGGGCCGGTGGCCCCTTTACTGGAATTAAAGCAACAACTATTAAGTTTCCCTTGGCCCTTTACGTACAAATAAATACTTACTACTTTACTTACAGTAAAGAATTCTTGGAGTTTTATGAACTTAATATGCTTGAGAACTGGGCCTTGGAAGTGAACTTGATGTTCAAAACCAGCATTTCAAGAGCATTTCTGAGAGCATTCTTGATGGACTAGCCACAACCTTTAGACTATGGAAGATCAATGTCTGCAAGGAGCATTTATCAGGTCTATAAAGAAGATACACATGATATCCTTTAAATATAGTCAAAAGAAAAGCCAAAGTTTTCCTAAATCACACATGCTTCTTACCCAGTAATTATATTAATCAAGTTTACTACTTTCAACATATTTATATATGAAATGCACTCCAAAATGTAATTATGAGTGCACTGAGGACTAAATACATATATTTTCTTATTCCTATTTTTGCATACATCTGATGTTAAGTCTCTTATGTTAAGCTTTAGTGATTATATTGCTTTGTCACAGATGTTCATGAAGCAGTATTGTCATGTACATATAATTCTAAGAGGTTTTGCTAAAAGACCAAAGGAGAAGACAGTACTTTATCAGACGATAATGTTCACTTTTTGCCTTGCGTCACACTCCATTGACATCACTATGCCATTCTAATCTGCCCTCTTGTAATCAAATGTACCCTTGGTAACCGACATGCCAGTTGTCATTGCCTAGTACAGTCTCCTGCAGGAAAACTAGCTCTGTAGCACCCTGTTTCTTGGTTCCCAGTTGCTTCAGTCAGCTAACATTACAGGTGGAAACATTACTTAAAACTTTAGATGGAAATAATGTCTCAGCTCGACTCACAACATAACAGCAATACAGCCACATTCCCTAACTGAGCCTGTGTTCACATTCCCTAACTGAGCCTGTGTCCACATTCCCTAACTGAGCCTGTGTCCACATTCCCTAACTGAGCCTGTGTCCACATTCCCTAACTGAGCCTGTGTCCACATTCCAACAATGCATCCGTGGAATGCCGCGTGACTTATCAGCTTCATCTCGATGTACTGATCAAATTATGGGAAGTAGAAATGGGATGTTCATATTGTCCCATATTGTTTATGATAATCTCAGATGTAATGAAAGTAACATAGAGAAGATATTTAACCCTAACGTAAATTGTCCTCAAACTGTTTAGCATTTGTTACTGTTAGAAACATGCATCTTAATGTTCTGGGTGGCAGACCTGTCAATAGAACAGCATGTCAGTTAGCCCTGAACAACAATTGTGAATTTACATCACCATGGTTTTTCTGTTTGCTTTCTGCCTTAGATTAGTCATTGGAAAGTATTACATTTGGCATCTTAGAAAAGATATAAAGCAAGTGTCCTCGTACTTTAACTGTAATAGTTCAGGGAAAAAGAATACTTTATCACACTATACATGGGGGTAGAGGATATTTGTTAAATACAGTGTCCACTGATGCTACTAAGCCAGGGCCATGTTAAGCAGTGTAGTGTTACTATCAATCAACACTGTAGAAATTTTATACTCATAAATACAACTCAGGATGGTGTAGTGACTCCTAATGGGTAGAGGGTCATTGAGGCATGATGCCAAAGTTAGCACAGTTACCTGAGGAATTGCTGCTACAGGCACTGTAGAGGTGAATGAAGTGACAACTGCCTGTGGGATCCCTCCATCCACACTGACACGCACACTGGAGGGAGATGAGGACACAATGGCAGTGCACCGCGTCTGCTTGTGAGTCACAAAGGCAGGCAGCAATGTAAACTGTTTCTTGCATTTCCCACATTGGAACAAATCTTCCTCTTCTGCTGAAAGATAATCACCTATGTAAACTATTATAGGCTTACATAATATAAATCACAATAGATATACAACTGACCATTCCCTGTCAACAATCCCGGGTATTTCACTCATACAGGAAAATCAAATGTTGCAAACTGTGGAAAGTTAGTTGATTCAGACTTCACCATTGACATGCCCAAAAAATGATATCACAAAAAGTAAATATGTCACATAAACAAAATGGAGAAATGTTAAAGTGTTAACATTTGGTTAAAATCAAACCAATAAAAACGAAATAGACTATACTATATACAGTTTCACACTGTTTCAATTAGCGAAGCCTATGGCGCTGAGAGAAGTTTTTATTGGTTAAAGATTGGCGTTGACATTCCTACGGGCAAAGCGCTAAAAAACCAGAAAGCGCATCTGTAGAAACTGTAAGTAATGTAACATGATAGATCATGGATGATTCCCGAACATTAATAAAGTAATCAATATGGGAAAGATTCAAGTTGAAAAAATTTACTGAAGGCCACAAGGGCCTGCAAATATTTGAAACTGCTGGCCCGATACAATAACAAGCGGCGCTGTGCCTTCGGGCCGGCGATTATGTCGAACGCTGGTTCCAATGCCATCCATCCACATAAACTGATACCACTCAAAGGAACTCTATAAGCTTAAGCCATAACATATGACATGACACGCCATGACCATGATGACAGACAGGAAATTCATATATGGGTCAAATTGTTTTTGGTTTTTGCTTCTCTTGTCTAAATCCAATTATTTTTTAAATTTCTGTAATGTATACAATCTCGATCACCATGAATAGCTGCAAGACCTCTGTCTGAGTCTGACACATCGTTTGGCAATAATCGTTACTCATAACCATCTGAAAAACATACATAAGGTTATTCAATCTTTATGTGATAGTGATTTGCTGATTCAAGGTGTACAGTGAAATCATGTCACTTTACTGATCTGTTACCATGGTGAGTCATCATGCAGGTGTTACAATTAGTCAGGTGGATCCCGGTGAGGACTGTACCACTATGCCAACACTTGATGTTTGCAGTACAGGGTGACTGAACAGTTAGATGCAATGTTTATCCTGCATGTGTTACCTTGTGCTTCAGCAGCTGATGGTATGCTCTGAGAGTCAAGGAGAGACTGAACAGTTAGATGCAATGTTTATCCTGCATGTGTTACCTTGTGCTTCAGCAGCTGATGGTATGCTCTGAGAGTCAAGGAGAGACTGAACAGTTAGATGCAATGTTTATACTGCATGTGTTACCTTGTGCTTCAGCAGCTGATGGTATGCTCTGAGAGTCAAGGAGAGACTGAACAGTTAGATGCAATGTTTATCCTGCATGTGTTACCTTGTGCTTCAGCAGCTGATGGTATGCTCTGAGAGTCAAGGAGAGACTGAACAGTTAGATGCAATGTTTATCCTGCATGTGTTACCTTGTGCTTCAGCAGCTGATGGTATGCTCTGAGAGTCAAGGAGAGACTGAACAGTTAGATGCAATGTTTATCCTGCATGTGTTACCTTGTGCTTCAGCAGCTGATGGTATGCTCTGAGAGTCAAGGAGAGACTGAACAGCTACAGCTGTCTGATTGTCCACTGTGCAGGTGACACCCCCTGAAACAATCACATTGAGATGCATAACAACTTTCCCAAAGAAAATATAATACAGATGTGCTAAGATGAATACCACCTTACTTAACAAGGGAGGAAAATATTCCCAGTGTAAAGTAAACTATAACATGATTTTTTAATCCTGCATTCAGTTTGGTAAACCAGCTGTATGAAATTCACATTAGGCCATAATTTGGATGAGGATCATCATCACAAAATAAAATATTTATTTGAAAGCACTTCATTCTCAAAGCCAGCCAGTAGGCATATTCAAACACAGACATTGTGAAATAATGTGATGTCTGTGTAACGATTATGCTGGCTGATGATTGTACTGTTGCACATAGGTTATTTACTAAATTTAAGCATTATAATTCCATGTACAGTTGAGTAAATATGAACAAGCACAGGCTGATCAGTCATTGATCCTTCTGCAGAACAATGGCTAACTGAAAATATCAGACTGGACCAATGTCACTTCACTTATCTTATTAGGGCTCCTTGCCTCTAGGCAGGAGACCTATTGTAATCATTCGGATTATTATTATTATTATTTATTATTCCGCCGATTTTTGTACCAAACATAACTCCTAAACCAATGCTCCGAATCGCTTACAAAAAAACACAGATGCGCACCCAGGTATAGATATTCCCCTTAAAAATCTCTAGGCTCTTGGCCCAATAGCAAAGGGGAAATAATTCAAAATGAATTCCAAAATTTCAACGTTTGACAGCAAATATCTCAAGAACTAATTGTTCCAACACTTCCAAATTTCTTGTACAGATGCACAATCGAATTCCCAACAATTTTGCCTGGATGGGTCAAGTCGCTAAAACGTACCGTTTGGCAGTTATTTCTGTTTTCAGTTTTTCTGAGTAGTTTGCTCCCAAAATGTGCAGATTCTGCACACAAAAGTGCCAGTATGGTAGATGATGTCCTGGTGATTCCAGAACACTAATTGTTTTGAACGTAGACCCAAGAACAACTGAGATACAGCCTTTTAACAAAGAGGGAACTATTTCTTCTCCGGAACTACTTAAAAGGTACATGGCCTACATGACCCCGGCTGTATTTGGAGGATCCGCTCGCCTGTCAAAACATGTGTTCTGGCTCCGTTTTGGACGATGATATCTAGCCCTCAGATACAATAGATAGATGAAAAGTAAAGCCAAGGAGACCTCATCGTTGCCCGCAACTATATTTTGCCATGTTTTCATGTCAGAATGGAAACAGTCTTAATCATGTAACTGTTCAAAAAATACTTAAGAAGGACAAGTCACATGCCCAGAGCTTAACTGATATTATAATGCATCTTTTGATCAATATCTTGGGCCAATTTGCCACTGTATCGTCACATTTGTAAAACTAGATCTAAATATCAAATGTGTTTCTCTTTTCTGGAATGACTGCAATAGGAGGTTGGTTCAAGTGGAAAGGTAAAATTGAGGTTAAATTTTTAAATACTGTGCAATATGTATTTTGAGTCTCAGAAGGAACTGTTGTTATTTGCAGTGTTATTCATTGTGATAAAATGTTCCAAGTGTAATACCTTGTACCTGTTGACATTCAGCATTGGGGCAGTGGTGTTATCTATCTTTTGACTTGTGCTATATTTAGACAGAGTTCTGGAATGTACCATGACCCTCCTCTGATGTAGAGAACCTTATAGAAGGATCTGGTAGCTTTTCCTTAGGTATATGAGGGGGGAGCTAACTCTTGCCACAATTCTCATGCAACAAGAAGTGAGTGAGTGAGTGAGTTTAGTTTTACGCCGCAATCAGCAATATTCCAGCTATATGGGGGCCAAGCCACAAGACCAGCATTTTGTGTGATCACTCTATACCCCAGATATTCTGCATAGATCTTATTCAGGTGTTGGATTACTGTTGCTGGATTGCTATAATCACTGCTCCTGTATTCAATTACCTTTGAATTTGTACTGCCTTTCTATTTTGAACTGCCATAGTGATATCAGACATGAGAACGGCAAAGCACAAAAAAACACTGAAAATTGGGAGTCTTGGGGGTCTTTTATTGCAGATTTACATCGATCTCAAAAACATTAAAAAAATGAAACCAAAATCTCAGAAATCCGTGGATCGGCGGAAAATTCTCATGTCTGTGATATCTTTGTATTGATTTGTGAATTTAGTTAATTTTAGAATACAATAATTTATTACAGCACATTTCTTTGTTGGTTTCACACCTAGTTCATTTATGGTTTTGATATATTGTCAGGAAAACACATTACTATGAACAGTCCAAGACAAACATGTCCCCATGAAATGAATAATGCAACTTCTAAAAACTAACGAACTAGCAAGAAGCACTGTCCATTATCTGGTCTCTTTTATGCACATTTCTTGATATAGAATGCCTATAATGTTTAGATTACTGATTAGCCGATTACTACCCTACCCCATATTACAAACCAAGATGATAAATATTAATAAAGAGTTGGAAGCACCTTTAAAATACAGCATCACAACTTCTTGTGCGGACGCTCTCTGTCGTAGGTCACGTGTCGACAAGCAACCAGTTTTTTTAGAAACCTGCAACCTTCGGATTGTTAGCATGACAGCTAACTGGCTGAGCTACGTCCACACTGTTATACAATATGCAATTTTATCTAGTCATTCCTGAGACATTACGGAAAGGAAAGGAACGAAAACAGTCAAATAGGTTTAAGACAATTACGAAGTATGATTACTCATCCCATTTCGTAATCTACAAGATACCATGTGGTATGGAATGAGCCTGATACGGCACGAACTGAAAATAGTTGTTGATGTCAGGGTCAGACGTCGAATTCACAGTATACATGAATGATCAGGGTTTTACACAGACTTTGAAAAATTAGTCATGGTGACTCATAGTATTTATTTTGGGGAGTTGTGTTCAATGTTTGGGAGTCAGGAAATTTTTAGTGTAATATATATTTGTGTATATCAAAAAGCAAGAGTTTTGCAGAGATTTTGTTGTTTTGTGTTGTATTGCCATTTAAATGTTCCCGGAAGTAATAAATAGTTTATTTTTCACAGTTCAAATCAGCCATAACAAAATCCAGTAAACTGAACAAATAATCATGCTTGTGATTTATTCACTGTAGCATACAGTTATTAACATGAATTGAAAGAAATATCTAAATTAATGAAGACCTCATGAAAACTATCATTGTTTGCTTAGCAAATCAATTTTATTGAACTGAATTCTGGGGGTCACTCATAAAACTTGCATCAAGCTTGACTCGTATGATAATATTTTAAGAGTCTTTTACAAAATTGTTCCGTCAAATATGCAGGAATCACGCGTCATGTAAAACCCTGAGGATGTGCTTTTAAAAAAATTATTGGGTGATTTTGTGACAGAAACGTGTTGTAGTGAACATTGTTAGGATAATGTGGATCGCACTAAGGAATGAGAGAGACATGTCTGGTGACTGCACGAGGGGGAGTTAGCCTTCGAAATCATTACTGAACAAATGTAGCACGTGAAAGTGGCTTAAGTGCAAGCTCCAGGCCAATTTCCATTAGCCCAAATTTTCTACATTACATTATTTCATCGTGTACTGTCAACGTTTTTGTGTGAAAAAAATATTAAAAATGCAAAAGGAAAAAGAACAAATGGTACACATGCATTACACCAGACATCTACCTACTATATTTGATTTGGTCCCTGACCCTAAACCCTAACCCCACGAAATAATCCTAATAAATAGAACTCATTGACCGATGCAGCACGAAAATGGCTCACGTGTCCAGTGTAATGCATTCTTACCGGTTTGAAAAATAAAAGGTACTAACAAACTATTACTTAGTTCCCACTTGTAATTCATTTAGTCATAAACGTTACGTTGAAACCGAAATATAAAATATATGCAAAATAAAAGTGCTTTCATAAACTGGCGCTTGCTTATCAAATACGCTGTCACCGTCTTAGTTTATCACACAAACACCCTTCATTGCTTGGCTTACCCAATGACAATACGTAGAGAGACAAACCCAACAACAGTCTGACATCAAAGAGCATTGTTTTTGATAACAAAGTTTCACAAATTATGTCATAAGGTATTGTGATGTAATTTGTGAAGTTTGTGGTGCTGTAATCTAAAGGTAGGCCAAGAGCTGATTTGAAAAATTCCACAATATTATATAGAATCTGACATCAGTGCTAATAGAATCTGACATGAGTGATGAATACTGTAGTGGTAATATTGGCAGGACATGGCCTAATTATATATCGGTTTGGAAGCCTAAACACAAAAACATTCGCCTGGTTTGCCATTCAGATCCTATGGAATCACTTGATCCATAATTGGCTGTAATTTATTACAAATATTTTTCTTACCGATTTTCTTGATCAAGTTTTGATGATATTGAGGAATACTTTTAGTACAAATTAAAAACAAAACAAAACAATATAAGCTTTTGTTATAACATAATTATCATGGTGACCAAATACGATCGGCTTTTGTTTATATGTTGACATTTGCAGATATCTTCGTATGTTTTGTGACCCACCCCCTTTCTACCCTCATCGCTTTCGCTCTATTGCCATTCCATCAATTATTGTTTACACCCCGTCAACTACTGAAGCGTTTCGCCCTCTTGACGTATATCCAGTATCAAATAATGTTGATTCATTCAGTAGGAACGTTAATAAGTATTCGTTTGAATGCATAGCTGAATTGTACCAAATAATACAAATGAAAAAGCGACGTTTCACGTTGTATAGTACGTGACGGGTCTGTAAGCAGTCTCAATGTAACAGCGACAAATATGGCGGAACATCCGTGCAAGAAAGTCGTGCTCTGAAATGATCGGACTTTTGTGAGAAGTGTCGGATAATATCATAACGTTATATACATACACTGATCAATACACATAAATTAAAGTGATCTGAGTTGAAATATTACCAGCAAGTGCCTCGAATAGAGCTTGAGCCATGTTTAACTCAAAACATTGAATGCCACTTCTCAGCGCCACCTAACGGTGATGGACTCACAAAGGGACATAACTGTAACGGAAGGGCTTGTCGTTATCAACGTACTATATCTACTCTCGGTTAAGATTTTGAGCTCCAAGAGCGGACTGTCGTCGTGAAAATCTTGGTTCTTTCGGTGTTTTTCTGGCGAGTATTTGGAAGAAATGCAGTTGTTGTTGTTTCAGAAACCCATCGCATTTTATATTTTAAGCTCACATTCGAACCACCAATAGAATCTAATTATAATCTAATTAGCACTGGGCATTTTCTAGCCCTCAGTCTCAGAACACTGGCTTACAGGCTCAACATTGACCAGATGGGCCATCTATTATGTACTATCTACGTATTATCTGATAAGCGTTTTAATTAGTCATTTTTTTACATATATACCTCGCGGTTTCGCATGTTGTCACGTTCTATTGAATATGAAATTAAATATCAAAAATAAAACCGCGAAGAGAGCTCATAGCATCTGATGAAGCTACTGCAGTAAGTTCTCCATCTGGGTATAAAACGATGTGTTGAAACAGTACATTTGTATTTTGGGAAAGCTGTAGACGTTATCAATATACATTGTAGCAAAGACCATATAATAATATCTATTATATGGTCCCTGATTGCAGTAAAAACGTTAATTTTCAAACAGTCATCTTCACTAGTCTGTCATACCGGAGTCTAGGTCAAAAGCCAATATACAAAATGTAAATAAAGAGAGTCCCAACAACCCTTACGCCTATTTTGGGATGTTCCAATGTGTAATAAATTAATTAATAGCGAAGATCACAATGTTCAATCGTCGACTGCACTTTACTACTCTGATATAAGAAATTCGACTAATTGGTATGCGGCCCAAAAGGCCTACATGGCAAAACACCTGCACCTACAAAGTTCACAGTTGATCGCACATTTGATCCTCTGCCTGTTACCTTTGTCAGTTTAATGGAATAACCCCGAGAATATTTATATAATTTTATTTTACTAATCAGTGGTATGATAATCACTTTCCTTTTACAGATGTTTTTCACACACTTCTAGTGAATACAAATCTCTCTACATTCTTGGTGTGCTATGTAGTGTTTTGATCTGTTCATTTTATTATGTCATGAGACCCGTGAAGATCCGGGGTAGAATAGGTCTTCAGCAACCCATGCTTGCCACAAAAGGCGACTATGCGTGTCGTAAGAGGCGACTAACGGGATCGGGTGGTCAGGCTCGCTGACTTGGTTGACACATGTCATCGGTTCACAATTGCGCAGATCGATGCTCATGCTGTTGATCACTGGATTGTCTGGTGCAGACTCGATTATTTACAGACCGCTGCCAAATAGGTGGAATATTGCTGAGTGTGGCGTAAAACTAAACTCACTCACTCACTATTATGTCATGTATTATACTTGATTAAATACATTCATTTTATCAGTTAGGTTCAAATGTGGTTCAGAGAAATTTATGTAGTGCTATTGGTGATAATATTGTTGAATAAATCAGGGATAATCTACAGCGTCTTCTATTCTCCTTGAATAAATATATTATCCATACTGACGCTTTTGAGTTTATGACTACATAGTTTTTACTTTAAAAATATTTGGACGATGGCTGTCCTGAATTAGTCACTATAACAATTGTATGTCTCGTGCCAACATTATGTGTTTAAACTGATCAGAAATAAGAGGCGAAATAGCACGATTGAGAAAACTACAAAACTACAGGATACGTGACTCTTATCCGGAACCATGGATGTTGATGCTGTACTGTTGCACTTGACAGTATTCACACTGATCGGGTAATATTGAATAATGTTTGTGAAAAATTACAGTCGCCCACTTTACTGGTGAATCGTCCCTGTGAATGAAGTCTTCCGTAGCTGTGTCGAATGTAAATTGAAATCTGTCTCGGGCTTATTAGGACACCTTGTGTTTAGTTGATGACACCCATGTTCAGCGAATACTTTGCAGCCATGGACATATGTATGGTGGCTCATTCGGGCCATCGCTTTATCGCCCTGAAGAAATCTAGGCGATATCGCCACAAAGCGATAGTACGACACGATATTGCGATATGGCGACACGATTTAGGAAATAAAGTTCGCTCTACCCCAATGTGTTTTGTAATAAAGTATAGTTTTGCCCTGAACTATTATAATTAAAGAACGAGGACGGTAGTCCGAGTGCTTTGATGTTATAAACATAATTGATGTGTATCAACTTCTGTTCATCATTCCATAACTGAAATCAATCGATTTGTAAATGTTTAGGCAAGTTTCATAGGAGTAAAGACGGCAAAATCTAGAAATGAAGAACTCTTGTATGATTGTATGTATACCTGTATCGATTGCAGCATGTATCATCGTATTGTCAATTGCATCTTTGCTTCCTTTGTTTATGAACACATGGAACAAGTCAAAGTGTATTCATCACGATTTTTGTAACTGTTATGTTGCTGGTGCGGTATTTATCTAAGCATAAAATGCTTGTTTACCAACCCAGGTTTCTGAAAATAAATATGTTTAAACATACATGTTACATATTGAACAGCTAACAGAAGTGTGTCCTCCTTTAAACCACTATAATGATTAACTTATGAGATAAGGCCTATACTGTTATGGACCTGTTTTGGCAGTGTTGGTCACTGTCTTCATCTTGAGTCACATATTCGGAGGTATTCCTTGGACAATAGGTGTAAAAAGATCCGCTATAGAACTGAAGGTGTAGCACATGGTCGACTTTTTATCAGCTGCATGTTAAAACCTCATTTGATATTATTTCTTCATTTCAAACTGTGTTCGGACATTAATGTCAATGCTGGTGTAATTGTAATAATGTATTAGGAAAAAAACAAGAAACTGAAAAACAGTTCCGTTTGTATAGTACATTTACACTGATCTTCCTGATATAAATAACTTATCTGCCTTCCGAATTGCGCTGCACTACTTAAGTGGATTCAATAGTTAGTGCAGTCAGCGTATCCGAGATAATGTAGGAAGGACACCATGGGTTGGCAGCAGACGTTTTGAATTTTCAAAACGTTTATATTAGTGTGGTCAATTTGTGAGATATACCAATGCAAGTACGAAAATCGTACACATTACAGAATATATATATTGTAATACACCCGTGCATTAATTAAGCACCACCCTTTTTTGAAAATAAGATGTGATGCTACAAAAAAAGTTAGGGTATAGCCATCAATTTAATCAACCTATAGTTAAAGAAGCTTTATCCATTGACATTTTTGCAAATATCATAACATTTTCTATTCTTTATGAAAGAATATGTGGATGAAAATGTGATGGGACTGAATTTTTACCCAAAATAACTATTCCTCTCCTTCTCAAACTACTCAATTAAATTAGGTTTAACTAAAAAACCCAATTCTGTTATATACCAAGATGACATTTACACATCAAGTAAGCTTAAATTATGCATAATCAGGAAGAACCCGAGTGTCCAAGATTCAGACCTTTTCCCAACAATTCAGATTGCTAATTGACAAAAACTGAAAAAGGCATCATTAATAAGATTATGGAATAAATCTTTTTATGATTTTGAGTATATTCTGTTGAATAAACACTTTTCTTTGCCGGATACTGATAATTACAGCTAAAATCTGTTTGTTTTGTTTGTAAAGCAACTACTAGTATTACTGCATTTTAAAATTTTACTTTTTTTAAGTTTGACTGTAACTTTTCCTAAATCTTAGTTTTCAAACTTTCATCCATTCACTATAAATAACGAATTTATAGGCCACATAATAATCAATTATTACTTTCACTTGTCAAAATAAGGTAACTTGTTTTAGGACAGAAAAACACCTGATTTAAATGTAGGCAATTATCCAAATTAAAGTACATGTTCATTTCAATGATGTTTTCGTTTTTGAAATGTTAAATACTTGCTCTATCAAATTATAAAGGTTATTGTTTTGGAAATAGTTTAGAATTTCATTTCAGACAAAATTAATTGGTAAAAATACAGGGTGGTGCTTATTTTATGCACGGGTGTATATATTGTCTTGCATGACGTGAAATGGGTATAGAAGTAAGGAATCTGCATGTAAGGCTCCAAAGTATAGGGAACAGGCTTTTAACGTTGAAGGAAAACGGAATTTGGTAATCCAGGCAGAAGACGCCTTGTTCCCGAGCTGGAAGATATCCCAATACGTTGGGTTTGCAGATCAAAGAGTCATGTGGTCAACTTCAGAATATTGAGAGACAACGTATTTGACCCAAAATAAGTAGGATGGTATTTTTATGAAATACTGAAATGAAGTGGTCACTTGATTTTCTGTTTTTTTTTGTCAACTCTATTCATTAATTCAAACAAGATCACGCATCAAGGTAAGCAAGATAACCATGATATGAAGATGATTACAGCCGTCAGACGAAATCGTTAGGGAAGTGTTGAGCAGCTCAAAATCAGTCTTTCTAAGAAAGTCATGTGTAACGTCACTAACGTGGATGAAACTCGACATAGGCATGCAGAGATATGGCTGGACATCTGATTCCCTAGTGGATGGATGCCATGTTTCAGAAACTTCTTCGCCAATGCATCTTCTCTAATGGAAGGGCCCAGGAGCCATCATCACAGCTGTCACTAAAGCCCTGAAAGCACTCAACAGCCTAAACCACCCCACCGAGACAACACCCTATCTTCAACCACAGGATGTTTCGGGTGGCATGAATGGTCCATTCAAAGCTAAGCTCTGAGTGGAGTGGCAGGACTGGCTTTTAAGAATGGCAAGACAGAATTTGGGGGAAGGACAAAATCCCATAGGACAAAATTTCTTTGGACAAAATGCCAAACCAAAATGACCAACATAGGATAAAATCCCATTTTTATGTTATTGCTACCATTTTTCACCAAGGACCCAGTGAGTTCATTATCATGTTTTCATGACAGAGGCTAGTGAGATAAATTGATTAGCATGTTTTCGTAACAGAGGCCAGTGGCTGCATTGATAAATTGTCTGTGGTGATGACAGTTTTTATTAGTGTTCCAAAATGGAAGTACCGAAGAGCAATAAGGGTGGAGTTAAAATAGAATTAGATTGCTTTT